AGCCCCTTGGCCACAATATACCTGTTTCACTTACTTTGGAAATTCTCAGACTGAGTCACAAAAGCCCGGATATATGGAACAGAACCTTTGGCCCATCTGTACACTGCTCCTCCGGGCGCTGGAACAGATCCAAAGCAGCATCTCATGAGAAATTCATTACTCCCTTAGGCTGTCTCAGATCAGGATGCAGTGGTCTCCTGAGTGGCAGGCAGGTGTCATGACAGGTGCCTCATATTTTGTACAAAGACATTAACTTACTTCCAACTACACTGCTGAATATAAGCCCGGACTTACCTAGCCAAGTAGGCATTTGCCAGAGAGCACAGTGTAAACCATCTACCTCCCAACAGTTCCTGAAATACAGATGAGAGAGGCGGTATTTCTGGTGGTTTCCTTAAAGGAATAGCTATTGAAACTATTCACTCACCTGTTACATTTAAAGTGTCCCAAGATGGAAACAGATTAGCAGAGAACTGGGGACTTTTGTCATATTGCATTACCCAACCCCATCCCCTTCCCTCCTTGACCACCTCTCCACACTGCTTTTGCACGGAGCATCATTATGGGAAACAAGCCTATGAAACTCACTTGTGTGCCCTCAATAAGACTTTGGTGGAGAGCGCTGTTCCTTACATTACACGCTATTTTTCTTTATGAGGACGCCTGGGAACAATTCCTGTCTGGCTTCTGTGCGAACAAGTTAGAATTTTCCCGAGAAATTGGTTTGTGTTTATCTTGTGGACACTGAACTGTGTATCTGACAAGCTTCCTTTATTCCGTTGGCGGCTGTGGTGCAGTGGACTCTGCCTGTGACCCACAAGTTAGCCACAGATGTGGAGGGATGCAGTTTTAACATTATGGCCAGCTCCACAGTGGCTTTTTTTTTACTCCTATATCCCTTTGCCTCACTTTTAATTTATGCTATCTTGTCAGGCTTTATGTCCCATTGTAAGGCACCTGAAAAATGTTCTGTGAAATAAGATTTGGTTTATATTGAAAAGTACATAAATAAGTAAGATGCAGAAGAGACCCACACTGTGTGTATCTACCTATTCTCTCCAATACTTCCATTATGTTCTAAATCCTTCCACTGATAAACCCAAGGTTCAGGACATGCAATTCAGAAATGTAGCAAGAGTCATCATAAAATAATTGGAAAAGCTAAATAAAGGTGTTGAAAATATTGTGATTATTCCTTCTCAGTCTTCTGACCCAACTGAGGTGATGCCACTGAAATGACAAAACTCCTATAGAGAGTCTGATGCACACACATGAACACGAATTACAACTGAAAGATTAATTAACGCTAACTACTTGAGTGACACAAGGAAGTTTACCATGATTCCTGTGGTCTGCAGGCAGCCTGGGGAAGCAAGAGGGTCAGGCACTACTTTCCTTTACCTTCTATTGCACTTGGGATGCCTGGATGGCTCAGCAGTTAAGTGTCTGCCTTGGGCTCAGGGCATGATCCTGGGATCGAGTCCCACATTGGGCTCCCCACATGGAGCCTGCTTCTCCCTCTGCCTGTGTCTCTGCCCCTCTCTCTCTGTGTCTCTCATGAATAAATAAATTTTTAAAAAAACCTCATTCTACCGCACTGCTGAGGAGCAAGGAAGAACCATCAGCCCCCAGAGGTGCTCTCCCTCCTAGGGATTTCCTAACTGTAGGAAGTGGTTTCAAATGCAAGAAGAGAAGTGATGCCATGGACTTCTACCCAAGTGTACAGAGATGGCTGGGCATGGGTTGGGGACCAATATCCGAACTATGTCAGCCAGAAGAGATGATAAACTTTCAATAAATGAAGGTGGAGGTCACTGGAGTTAGCTTCTTCCAACGAATATTCATCTTTTGTTGAAGCTCAAGCAATGCTCTCCAAAAAGCCTTTCTACATCTCAAATGTCCTGTCTACACTTGTCCACCATGGTAGCCACTAGACACATGTGGCTACTGTGCACTTGAAATGTGTGATGGGCCATCTAAGTTCTGAATTTTATTTTAATTAATTTAAATGTAAATAGCCATCCTAAGTTTAACAGGGTTGCAGGATACAAGATCAATATGTGAAAGTCAATTTTATTCCTATACACTAGCAGTAAAAGTCAGAAATTGAGATTTTTATCCACCAAAAATATCAGATATCTAAGAATAAGTCGGAGAAAAAAAAAATGTGTCAGACCTATCACACTGCAAATTACAGTGAGTGCTGAGTGAAATCACCATAGATGTTAAATGAATGAAGAAATATACCATGTTCATACTCAAAAAAGTCATTATTGCTAAGATGTCAGTTCTCTCCAAAAGTGATTTATAGATTCAATGCAATCAATCCCCATCAAAATCCCAACAGGCTTTTTTGTGCAGAGGTTGACAAAGTGATTCTAAAAGTCATATGGAAATGCAAAAGACCTAGAACAGCCATAATCACTGTGAAAAGGAACAACTACTGGAAGACTAACAATACCTGATTTCAAAACTTATGATAAAGCTCACAGTGACCAAGTCAGTGTGATGGCGGTAGAAAGACAGACAAAGAGATCAATGGAACAGAACAAAGAACCCAGGAATAGTCCCATACATCTGTGGGCAAAAGCAGCACAGCAGAGAAAGAATGTTCTTCAACTACCAATGCTGGAACAACTGAGATATCCAAATGCACACAAAAAAGAAATAAGAACTTTGATGCATACCTCACACCATATGCAAAATTAACTGAAAATGGATCATAGACCTAAAACATAAAAGCTATAAAATTATAAAATTTCTAGAAGAAAACAAGAAAAAAATCACTGTGGCCCTGAGTCAGGCAAAGATTTCTTAGAAATGATGCCAGGACAAGATCCAAAAAAGAAAAAGATGTTAAATTTAATTTCATCCTAATTTAAAAATTGCTCCCCCAATGCCACACTTTAGAGAATGAAAAGACAAACCACAGGTAGACAGAAAATCTTTGCAAAGCATGTATCTGACAAAGGATTTGTATCCAGAACATATAAGGAACTATCAAAATGCAGTAATAAAGGAAAACAACCCAACAATAAATGAGCAAAATAATTTAAACAGACATGGCACCAAAGATGACACACAAATATCAGCAAACTAGCACAGAGAAGCGTTCAACTTCACTGTTCATGAGGAAAAGAAAAACGAGAATCACAAGGAGATACCACCACACACCTGTTCAAATGGCTAAAACTACAAAGAACAACCATACCAAGTGTTGGCAGGGATGTTGATAAGAAACTCCAACTCCCATCCACTGCTGATGGGAATGTAAAATGGTACAACCATACAAGAAAACAGCTCAGAGGTTCTTTAAAAGTTCTACATCTGCCATATGACCCAGCCATTCCACTCCTAGGCATTTGTCCAAGAGAAATGAAGGCACCTGCCCATATGTCCACTTGAGTCCACACATGTTCATAACAACTTGTTTTTAAATAACCCATAACTTAATAACCCATATGTCCATCAATGGATGAGGGTATAAAGAAATTGTGGTACCTCCATACAATGGAATATTATTCAACAAAGAAAAAACTTTAAAATAAAGTGTATTTACATACATCATAGAGAGATCTCAAAATAATTATGTCGAACAAAAAAAAAAGAATACAAACTATGTGATTTCATTCATATAAAATTCTAGAACATGCAAGTTAATACACAGCTGACCCTTTGACAACATGGGGGTTAGAACAGCAACCCCCACTGCACAGTCAAAAAATCCACGTATGACTTTTGTCTTCCCCTATAAACTAAATGACTAAGAGCCTACATTGACCAGAAGCTTTCCTGATAACATAAACTGTCAATAATTATATGCTTTGTATGTTCTATGTATTATATGCAATATTCTTACACTGAAATTCAAGAAAACCATAAGGAAGTGAAAATACGTTTACTGTACTGTATTTAATGGAAAAAAATCTATGTATAAGCAACCCTACTCAGTTCAAAGCCATGCAAGGGTCAACTGTTCAGTGACAGAACACAGATCAGTGACCACCTGGAGACAAATGGGAGTAGAAAGGGCAGAAGAAGGGATTACAAATGGGAACAGGGAAACTTCACAGGATGATGGATATGTCTAGTCCCTTGACTGATGAGCTTCACAAACATACACACGTGAAAGTGTATCAAATTACATACTTTAACTATTGTATCTCAATTAAACCTCGATGAATTTGTATAAAATAAAATACAAAACCAAAACACGGTCAGTAGCCACCTGTGGCTACTCACTGCACAGTTCAACCCTCTGCGCTGTCCTCACATTTAGTATTTCTACCTTAGTATCCATGGGAAGCTCTCTGACGCTGTAACAACTGATGTCTAATTCTGTGTCCCATCCTTTCCCCCCACCTCCACTGAAAGAGATCCTCTCTTATCTTGCTTTTGAAAGGAAGGCGGATGAGCAGACCTAAGAACGGAACACATTCAAACTCAGAACATCTTCCTGGATGACTTCCCTGAGAGACCCTTTCAGCCAGAGAAGAGGTGGCTTTGCTGGTTGAGTAAAATATTCTGCTGAATATTCTGCTGATTTTACCAGACTTTACCAGAGCACTGTGGAAGGCACACTGCACGTCAGACAGGAATCTGGTGGACCACTGGGGAGCTAAGGTCCCTCCAGAGAAGATCTGATGATTCTACATACTCAGAATCTAAAGTATTGAGTTTGCCTTAGCCCTGGGAGACTGGCCTTCAGAGACAAAGTTTGTGAGAAGAGCAGCTTGGAAAGGGCATAGCTGCAGATTCTAGTTCTGGCACTTTCATGTTTGTGGTCTTAGTTTCTCCATCTGTACAACAAGTATATCCTGATGCCTATGAAACAGAATCAGAGTTAAGATCTAACAAGATCATGGACACAGAGTGTCATCCAAGGAGCAGAGGGACATCAGAACTATCCCGTCCCCTTGCCCACACCAAGCCCTTCATCCCAGCACACCTTTTCTTCCCTTACCATGGGATGGACAGATGTGAGCAGGGGGCCAGCTTACCTGGAGCCAAAGTTTGTCATGCTGGGACCACTTCCCACCAGCAATGCACTGAAATGTGGCATTCTGCCCCACGTTCACCTCGACGTTTTGCAGCCGCAGAAAGTGAGGTGCTTTTCCTAGGAGAGAAACCAAACAGCACCTGAGTCCTGAATTCAACAGCCTGCAGCACTTCCCCATGGTGATGGCGGCTCAGGAGGAGCACTGGGCAGGGTGGACCCTGTACCTGGAAAGCGGCCCGGCGCAGCAGAGAGCTACTGCTGCTTGATCACTTACTATGAGCCAGCTCCTGTTGGTTCTAAGAGTTTTACGGGATCACCTCCTTTAAACCCCACCATATCCGCGAGATGGGTAACATCCCCATTTCACATATCAGAAAATGAAGGCTCTGAGGGCTTACAAAGTTCGGCACAGTTAGATAGCCCGAAAGTGAGGGTGCCGAGACATGAATCCAGGTCTCTCGGAGTCTCAAAATCCCTATTATTAGCTTCTGGGCAGTAGGGGCATGTTTGGAAGGAAAAGTTGAAGGTGGGGCATGGGGAGGATTCATCACTGAGAAGTCCTCCCTCCAGCCTGAGTGAGCAAAAAGAGGAAAGCGTAAGCAAAGCACCTTGGAGCCTGAGACCCACATGTCCGGCCTTGGTGATGATGCTGAGGAGGAAAATGATAAGGAGGGAAGAACAAAGGAGGGAGGAAAGGTGGAGGAGAAAACTCTTGGCTGTCATTCACATAGGACTCGCTGCGTCATCAGTGCCATGTGCAGTGTCCACACAGGGTAACTCACTGAACCCAATGTGGCTGGTAGTAGAATCATGTCTGTCTTATAGCGAGTGAGCTGATGCACACAGAACTCAGGACATTCAGAGCCTACACTCTGGAGGGGACCAGGGGGTGGGGGGAAGCATTTGTGCTGAGGACTTGGCATAACAGGAAAATGAAACTCATGGGGTCTGTGAGCGATCAATCCCAGAATTAAACAGTTTTATGTAGGGTAAGGGGTTCATCTTTTTGTTTGTGGAGTCAGGTTCTTGCTTGTCTGAGCTCTCCAAAGATAAGTGGGCTAATAATGAATGTCTAGAAGTATGAATTTCTTCACTGAGGCATAAAAGTGCCCAGGGTCCCCTAGCACATCAGCCTCACAATGGGACCAAGTAACAGTTGTTAAGAGGATCAAGAAGGTCCAACAATGGCCTCTGGCCATCTTCTCAGAGAGAGTCAAATACCCAGAGAGACAACTAATAGCAATAATGTCACTTATCTAAAGCTCGTGCAATGCCAGGCACTGTGATAAATGCTTTACATGTTTTATCTAATGTAACTTCGTAACGTTCCTGTAAAGCAGACAATATTACTATTCCCCTTTTAGAAAGGCAGAGACCAGGACTCAATAAGTTTAATTTTCCCAAAGCTACATGGCATTAGTAAGAGACAGAAACAGAACTCAGTCCAAATTTTAGCCCAATAGTCAACATTTAACTACTACATTCTCCGGCCTCTGGGGTGGGTAAGGGGAGATCAACGGTGTCAACTGGAACCCCAGGATCAAGGCAAAGGGCTTGCAGGCCAGGCTGTGCTAACTCTAGGCTCCTCTCATGGCTCCCAAATACTTAATGACAAGTGATCCCCTTTGCCTCATGGCCTTCGCACTTCCAACCACCTGCTCCACCAACCCGTATCACCACACATGGAGCTCAGCACAAGCCAAACCCCTCGGTGTGATGAGTCACACTTGCTGTGTGAAAACACAGACCTCCTGCTCAGGTTTTTAAACAAAGGACAACAGCTCAGAGACCCCCTCGTGCTACCTTCAGGACCCCACTGCTAATGTAGCATCAAGAATTAAAGGCCCAGGGAGGACCTCTCCTCATGGGCTTCTCCAAACTGAAGATTCTAGCATCCAGTCAACCTGACAAATGTCATGCTGCTCTGATTGTCTGAAATTGTTTCCTTTTTGCTTCCCCGTGTAATTTTGCAAGGTTATTTCTGGAACTATCAGTTCAAATCAAGTCTTAAAGGAAGACTAAGAGTAAACCCTGTAAGCCCATTTATGCCACAGGTTTAAACAGGAAGGAACATCCACTCCACTCCTGGAGGGAGGACAGGCGCAGCTCCAATGTCGGGAGGCTCTGTGCTGGGTTTCATAAAGGGGCAACCGTCCTCACCCTTGGGAAGAAGTGGGCAAATGGTTTAACCTCTGGGACTTGTACAATTAGAAATGGATCTTCTCTGGATCGATGTCCCCTGCTTACTTCTGACTTCTGGCTTCTCAGCAGCAGACCTTTTGTCTAGATTCTTTCATTTTCAATCCCTCTTCCTCCTTTCTAGGTTCAGTGGTAGAGAACCCAGAGGCTTAATGGCCCCTAGTGTTACTATTCTGGTGAAATATGGATGGTTTACAGCAGCGAGGTTGAACCCATGCATCCAGAGGAGCCAGTTACATAAATGAATAAAGTGGCTCAGTTGTAAAAAAACAACACACCACCTCCTTGCCCCATCATACACCTTCCCACTTTTGAAAGAGACTTGGGTCAAATAAAGATTTCTCTGTGAGAACAACAACATTGCACATGTGGTAACAATTGGTCTCGGACACCATCCTCAGCAGTGACGAGGCAATAAGGAATAGTGGGGCCTATGGAGAAACGGATAAAGACCACATGACTCTCTCCACCCAAAAGGGGGCAGCAGTTACTCAAATCCAACAGATGAAGGCCACTCCACAGTACTTTGCTCAGGGCAGCCACTTGTCCAATTTTTCAAATTCGGACACACGGAGACGTATCAAGGAAGAAACCCGGTTTTATGTGAAATCTCTCATTCTAAAATCTTGACTAAATTCCATTAAAACACTATGTAGACTCACCAAAACACATCTGCAGGCACATTCTTCTCATGTGTGGTCTCTGTTAGATAGGTCCTATATGCAAGTCATCTAGAACAATTCCCACTAGCCAGTCCTGCTGGTCTGGCCCCATCAATCCAGTGAGGCCCCCAACCCCTCCAGGCGGAATGCTGTGGGCCATATGACTGCTCGCCCTAGGTCAAAGTTCCTGACACAAGAACTGATCTAGATCACCCTCCTCCTGTTGAGTGGTATCTCCTCATGCCCGTATTCTTATGTCTGCTCTCTGAGCCCTGGCCTCATCCCCACCTCACAGCAGAAGTCTCTCTTTGGGGAGATCCTCCTTATGGTGAGGACCCATTCAAGCCACTTCTCCAAACTCCTAGCCTCTCTGACCCTCCCTCTTCACTTCCCTCCCCCACAACATACATAACTCCAGTACACTTCTGAGCACTGTGCTCTCTCAACTGCTACTTTCCTCCAGCATTCACTGCTCTGGGAAAGAGTTGATCCCCCCATCAGCAACTTGCCAACCTACAGCCAAACACAGTTGACCCTAGGGCCCAGCCCAGCCTCCAGCTTGTGATTTATTTATTTTTTTTTCAGCTTGTGATTTTAAACATTCCACCTTCACTCCCAACTGAGACTCAACACTCCCAAAGTGGGATCCCACTGAATGGGGTTAGCAGAAAACGAGCTGTGTATTTGGGGCCAAATGCCTTGATGTTGATGACATTTAAAATCCTTTCTGTTAGCCAACACACACATGAGAAAATGCTCTGCATCACTTGCCATCAGGGAAATACAAATCCAAACCACAAGGAGATACCACCTCACACCAGTGAGAATGGGGAAAATTAACAAGGCAGGAAACCACAAATGTTGGAGAGGATGCAGAGAAAAGGGAACCCTCTTACACTGTTGGTGGGAATGTGAACTGGTACAGCCACTCTGGAAAACTGTGTGGAGGTTCCTCAAAGAGTTAAAAATAGACCTGCCCTACGACCCAGCAATTGCACTGTTGGGGATTTACCCCAAAGATACAGATGCAATGAAACGCCGGGATACCTGCACCCTGATGTTTCTAGCAGCAATGTCCACAATAGCCAAATTGTGGAAGGAGCCTCAGTGTCCATCGAAAGATGAATGGATAAAGAAGATGTGGTCTATGTATACAATGGAATATTACTCAGCCATTAGAAACGACAAATACCCACCATTTGCTTCAACGTGGATGGAACTGGAGGGTATTATGCTGAGTGAAATAAGTCAATCAGAGAAGGACAAACATTATATGGTCTCATTCATTTGGGGAATATAAATAATAGTGAAAGGGAATAGAAGGGAAGGGAGAAGAAATGTGTGGGAAACATCAGAAAGGGAGACAGAACATAAAGACTCCTAACTCTGGGAAACGAACTAGGGGTGGTGGAAGGGGAGGAGGGCGGGGGGTGGGGGTGAATGGGTGACGGGCACGGAGGGGGGCACTTGACAGGATGAGCACTGGGTGTTATTCTGTATGTTGGCAAATTGAACACCATTAAAAAATAAATTTATTATTAAAAAAAACAAGAAAGTACAGCAAAATGATAAAAAAATAAAGTTCTGTCTCCGCCGCATCTGAAGACATATTACTGTGCCCTTTATTTCACTCTTTAAACCTGACAGTGTTCAGTAGGAAGCTGCACGATTGAGGAGAAAAAACAGTACATACATTAGAAACATGTTGCGGACACACCGTGGGCTCAGTGACACGGCCCTGCAAGGTTGTGATGAGGGGAAAGAAAAAAAAGTTTAAGAAATTCCAAAAGTCCACTTGGGAGCTAGAAACTTTGAGGCCAGCTGGGAAATCGTGCTGACATTCATTGTTTGTGGTTGTCGCTGCTGTGGTGGCCCTGCTAATAGTTAACACCGAGAAATGACAGCAGAGGGTGGCTATGACTAAGATACTTCTAGAGTAACATAAAAATGTTAGATGGGCTATAAACTATAGATGAGAGGCGTCGGTTTTTAAGAGAAAATAATTTCCTTTGAGTATTATGCCTGTCTGTCAGTGTTTTGGAAGCTGCAAGGCAATCATTCAAAGTCATAATTTCGGCTCAAATCGATCGAGAATACAATTGCGAATCAGGTGCTCACCAACCACCCCAACCAGGAACTTTTGGAATATTTAGTGGAATCGCTTATTGATAAATGCTGACCTGATGTTAATAGAAAAAATGTTTTGGAGGACGGAAATAGAGAATTACAAAGCCTGAGGAGAATGCATATTTCTCAATATAGTTAATTTTTTTTGGCAACCATGAGTGAAATCATAAATGCATTCATATGAAGGCTTTGGAGGGGGAAAAAGCACTGCCAGTCAGTCCAAAGGACAGTTCAGAAGCCACTAGAAGTAAGCATGACTCACGATCTCATGAGCAGCCCCGAGGATACATGCACCACCCCAGCCTGTGCCAGCCAGGTGCTTAAGCCAGAAACCCAAGAGTGTACCATTTTTGATGCCTCTGTCTCCCCAATTAACTCACCAAATAGGACCAGCTGACTCTACCTCCTAAATGTATCTCTGATCTGGCCATCTCTCTGTGCTCTGTCTCTTCATAGCACTACTGACCATCTGTTATGGACTAAATTCTGTCTCCCTTCTCTGCACGCCCCGCCCCCCGCCCCCCCCCCCCCAGATTCATGTATTGAAGCCCTACTGCTCAACACCTCAGAACATTTGGAATTAGGGCTTTCAGAATGGACCTTGATCCAATCTATCTGGTGTCCCGAAAACAAGAGAAAATTGGGACACACAGAGATATATCAAGGAGCATGGGTACACAGAAGAAAGCCCATTTGAGGACACAGCAAGAAGGCAGCCACCTGCAAGCAAAGGACAGAGACCTCAGGAAAAATCAACCCTGTCATCTTCATCCCCGACTTCCACCTACAGAACTGTGGGCAAATCAATTTCTGCTATGTAAGCATCCCCCCCAGCCTGAAGCATTCTGTATGGCAGCTTTAGCAAACTAATTTACCCTCTGTTATAGATTGTATAATTACGTGATTGTTTCATTTCCAGTGTCTTCTATCTCAATGGAAGCCCATGAGGGAAGAAAATGAATGGGTCTTACTTCCATAAACCCAGAAGACTGCCTGCCTTGGAGTACATGCTCAGTAAACACATGCTGAAAGATGAGTAGATGTCTCTCCACCAGCCTGATCCAGCCACCATCACCTACCTCTTTCCCATGACTCTAGAACTTTCTTCCTGATAGGTCCCCTGGCCTCTCTATTCCCCTTCAACTTGCTCTCTGCAGAGCAGCCAAAGTGATCTTCTAATATTTAAATGAAATCAAATCAATCAATCCCTAGGACAATTCCCTCCAGTGGTGTCTTCTTGTGCCTCGATTAAAACCTAACCTCATCATGACACTCAGCACCTTCCATGGCCTGGCCTCAGCCTCCTTCCTTGACTTTTGCTCAGACCCTTTTCCCCTGGGCCTCCTACACTCTGGCTCAGGCAACATCTGCAGACTCCCACTGCAGGGCCTCTGCACCTGCCACTTCCTCTGCCTGGCATATCCCCTTCCCTAGGTCACGACACAGGGAACTTAGGTGTCAGCTCAGACACATCCCCTGCCCATTCTACCTACGGCACCCTCCCCCACCGCAGCCACTCCCATCTATTCTCTTCAAGGCCCTATTACTCTCTGAAATTATACTTGTTACTACTTGATATTACTTATTTAGTGACTTTCTTCCCTCTGCCACTCAGCTAAGTTAACACTGTGGAGATGAGGATCTAACCAACTGGATCATTTAAGTATCCCCTATGTCCAGGGCAAGTTCCTGACACATAGCTAATGCTCAATAATTGACTTATGGAAAGAAAGTAGTAGTAAAGCACTGGAGTGGTTGTGGACTGAGCACCAAACTGAAGAAGGCACTGCTCAACTCACATGACTCAGGAGCAGTGTGTGGATAGACCCCTGAGAAGTATATGCACCACCAATATTTGTACATACTGGGAAAAGGAGTTTTTCCAATTCCAGCCACTATCATGGGGTCCTCACACTTTGATTTCTGGGAAGTTTAAGCTCAAGTTGCCTAAGCATCGAGACTAACCTCCATACTGTGCTCCCATTACACAGGAACACAGCCAGTGTCACATCCTTTTGAGCTATATCCCATGGCCCATTTGCTGGCTAACTGCCTTTCAGCAATTCCATAACCATGCAGTGCACACTCCTCAGCAGGAGGAATGTAAGGATGTCAAGAGAATTCTAAATTCAGGAGCAGCCCCCGGGGGGGTGTGGATTCCAAGGAGGGGACATGAGACTTTAGAGTGGAAAGGCATCCAAACACCCCCCAGAGAACCCTTTCCCATACAGACTTCTCAGAGAGAAGGAAGCATTTGGCTTTAATGGCAAACCATGGACGGTGCTTGGAGTTAAGGTGGAGCTGAGGTTGGATCATGTTGGATCACGTTGGGCCTTGTGACAGAGGTAGAAATTCCCACTCTGAGTAGAGACATCTGGGATCTCAGACAAGAGAGCCAGGCCAGATTCTCCTGCCAAGAGCCAAAAGTCACCTACTAGAAAAGCCAAAGGTAAACCACAAGCATAGGATAAGAAGCAGGGACGCAGCAGAGGTGAGCATCCCCAACGAGGATGGGATGTGTACAGGGCTTGGGAAAACTGAACCCTGTCTCAGAGACTACCTCAAAACTGGGAGCGGGACAGAGCTGAGTGTGTGCAGTTAAGTGGACCTCAGGGAGGTCCAATCCATCCTGATGCAGCTGTCCAGTTTGAGGTCAAAGATCATTCTTTAATGGGCAGTTGATGCTGATTCCCAGAAGGCCAGGGACGGAATGGCTTCTTCTGGGTGAGGAGGATTAACTGCATTTCTACTAATATAAACACTGCATGGCCAGGGGGTTTCTGGGACCCTCTTCACCCTGTCCATGATTGCATGGACAGACCCACCTAAGGAAATCCCAAAGACTCAGCAAGTAACCCAGAGGGCAGGAACCTTAGGCCACAGTGACGAAGAATCTAGTAGGATCTCAGCACTCCTGAGAGGCTGGCTGGTTTTAGGGGAAGGAGTGCTCCCTCACATAGACACGAAACACAATTATCCCAAACACTGCCTTGCCAAAACCCCTTGGAACTTGTCCCAAATTCCTCCAGAGAGGTGCTCTAAGCAATGAGTCAAACAATGGCACTCTAGTGCCAGGGAACGAAATGATGTTTTTAAGGGTCTAACCAATTCAGTGTAGAAGTGCAAAGTGTCATTTCAATTAAAGCAACACGGATGGGGCTGGCACAAGAAGAGCTCCAACATGAAAGGACCAAAAGGCCTAAAACAACAATGGGCATGGCCCTTGTGGAGGAAATAGCCAACTGCACCATAGCCAATAGCATGGCTCATGGCTACAAGGAGGGAGAAGAGAGAGGCGCCCCCTAGGAGTTACATGGAAACAGCTGCTGCCAATGGGAATCTCCAACATGCAATTCAGACAGACTAATGGGGCTGGCACCCTAGCCCTCCTAAGGGCTGCTACAATCTCTATGCATATCCCTTTGCCTCAGCCACCACCACCCCCAACTAAATGTCACTAGACATGATGCCATTCAACTCCCCTCTGGGATTTCGTGACACTGGGAGCCATAGGTTCTTACATGAACACATTCTGATATCTCAGACTAAACACAGCAGAGAGGGACAGAACTCCAAGGGGGCAACTAGATGGACATGGAGGAGCAGAAGGCCTTTGAGAACTCTTGACACCATACCGAAAGTACTACCAATGGTGAGAAATCTCTCCTGACGCCTACAGAGAGCTGATGGGTGTACTTAAAATTACTTTTAAAGAATTAATAGCTTTGGGGTACTTTTCCCTGTGAGTGAACAGTGTGCTAATTTGCTCAGTGGTCTAATGTTGTTCTTTTTTTTAAGACAATTGCATGAGATTCTATCCAAAGCCCTCTAATTCTTCCACTTCAGTGGTCTGAATCCCACTAATAAACAATCAGGACTTGAGACTCCCTTAATGACAGGGAGAGATTCAAACAAAGATGTTTTGCCACTCTGCAAATTCCTGTAGGTGCTGGCCTGTTGAACAGGCCAGCGAAATTACGAATTTATTCAGGACTGATTGCATTGAGTATGTAAGCATTTTTGAAGGAATAAAAAGGAGAGAGAACCAGAGATGGTGGTGAGCTGAATGAACAGGCAAGGGGTGGGAGGGAGGGGGACCATGGGCTCCAAGCTCCCCAGTCTCATATGGAGCGAGGCTGCATGAGGAGGAGGGAACAGACTTACTGCATGGATGAGCAAGGACCCGGACCTCGTCCACAGCGATGTAGCCAGGATGACCCTTCAAAGAGACGGATTCAAATATCACCTGCAACACACAGGGTGGGAGTCAATTTTGCAGAAGTGGTTGTAGGCATCGTAGGAAGCTTGCCCAGCCCCCAAACCCTCTGTTTCAGCTTCCCACAAGAACCTCCCAAAGAGGCCTTTTATTAGTCTAGTTAGCTACCCTAGCAATGGACTTGGATTTTCAAAACAAGGTAAAAAAAAGGGGGGGGGAGGGGGGCACATTCTAATGACCAGCAAAAGAAAAGCCAGCCACATGGAACATTTCTAATGGATTTCAGAAATAATGCCTGAATGCAGAAAAACCACCCAAACATGGCCTGCAACCCCAATCTGCACCTTTTTCGTTACTGTTTCAAATGAAGCACAGAGAAGAACTACTTCCTAATATCCCACCTAGGAAGGTGGACAGAGGACCTTACCTTGGAAGCTACCATAAGCCAAAGAGGGTTTACCCTGATTTGATTCTATACCCCACAGGAATACATTCCACCTGAATTTCTTTTTTCAATTTTAATTACAATATAGTCAACATACAGGGTTATAATAGTTTCAGGTGTACAACAGCATGATTCAACACTTTTTTTTTAATTTCTTTTATTATTTATTTATGATAGTCATACAGAGAGAGAGAGAGAGAGAGAGAGAGAGAGAGAGGCAGAGACACAGGCAGAGGGAGAAGCAGGCTCCATGCACCGAAAGCCCGATGTGGGATTCGATCCTGGGTCTCCAGGATCGCGCCCTGGGGCAAAGGCAGGCGCCAAACCGCTGCACCACCCAGGGATCCCCGATTCAACACTTTCAAATAACACCCAGTGCTCATCAGAACAGGTGCACTCCTCAGTCCTCAACCCCTCTTTGTCCCACACCCTCTCTCCCCCTCCCCTCTCCCCTCTGGTAACCACCAGTTTGTTGCCTGTGGTTAAGAGCCTGGTTCTTGGTTTGTCTCTCTCCCCATCTGAATTTCTTAATAACACCTCTCGAAGATAAGCCCCATGCATAACTGTTGGTATCCAGGGATCCACAGGCAACAATTCTTGGAGTTCTCCATTCTGACTCTCACCCAAATGGTGTATTTCACTAGAACTTTTAAAACTCCCTTAATATATTTCTTTGTCACCCATTGTCTAACTTTGCCTAGGGGATATAGCCATGTAAGTGGTCACCACAACCAATGCCCAGGACCCTCCCTAATTCCAGTGGTCTTTATCTCCCAACCAGCTTCAGCCATAGCCATGTCCTTGTCCACTCCAGATACTGGAAGTTGCATCCTCCAGGATTCTGGCACAGCCTCCTGCCCGTTTTAAACCTGCTCGTTTGGCTTGAGTGGTACCCTGGACTTCAACCTTCCTAGGGTCTATTTGACGGCCTGGACCTCCTGTATTCTCAGCACACCCAGGATTACCCTGCAAGCTGGTTAAACATCCAAATCATTCTCACCCAAAGCCCCCAATCTTTCACATCATCAATTCAGTGTTGAAAAGTCTACTACAAATCTGTCTTGTCTACCTTCCATGCCCTACACATATATTCCCCTTTAATATCACCCACCCAATCCCAGCAGACACACACAGCAAATCTTCAAGAGGCAAGAGAACAAGAAAAGGGCTGACTTCTAACTTCTTGCCCATCAATCATAGGTTGGATTACACCTCGGATGGGGCACCTGGGTGACTCAGTGGTTGAGCATCTGCCTTCAGCTCAGGGCATGCCTGCAGTCCTAGCGAGTCCCACATTGGGCTCCCCACAGAGAGTCTGCTTCTCCCTTTGCCTATGTCTCTGCCTCTCTTTCTCTTTCTGTTTCTCGTGAATAAATAAAATCTTTGAAGAAAAAAAAAAAGGATTACACCTCGGATCACCACATGCCAACTATTGCCTCCTCTCCATAAGGCATGCCGGCACTCTTAACCCCTCCCCACCTCTGCTGTGTGTTCCAGCTACTTGGTCCTTCCTGGTTCTATCTTGTATCTCTGAACTCTCTTTTTATCCCTGATTTTGACATAAATAAATGCTTGGGCTTCTCTTATTCTTTAAAAGCTACCCTTTAGCAGTAGGTTCTGCACTAGCACAGTCCAGTTGTGTTTCAATCACATGAGGAATTCTCCAAATAATAGACTGATAATACTCTAGATAATAGTTTTATCTACATTCACTGTCAACACTTCCTTAATTCCCACTGCAAACCCCCATCCATTGTAATATGGACTTTGTCCCCAGCACTTCCCCCAGAGCTGCTCTCATGGCAGATTCTAATAACTTCATAGTTACTAAATCCAACAGATAGTGTTTCAATCCTTATCTTAAGAAGGAAGACAGTGCAGTGCTTGGGCTCCAGATCAGGATGCCTGGGTTCTAGTCTTGGCTATACCACTTACCAGTGTGTGAACCTGGGCAAGTTATCTTACTGCTCTGTGCCTCAGTTTCCTCATCTGCAATTACAGTGTCCACTTCTTTGGATAATTTTTCAGGTTAAAGGAATTAATGCACTATTTAGAACAATGTTTGGCACATGGTAGGTACTCAATGTGTGCTAATTATTATTATTAATTCTTGGATCATTTTTTACAATTATCAATGTTCATAGCTTCTTCCTTTCTGGATCTCTCTTGTTTCAGGCTCAAGTGACACTTCATTCTCCATTTTTCTCACAGAACTGGGATAACATCATGGTAGGTTTCTTTGTAAGCACTCCTCCTCCTATAACTATCAAATGTGAGGTTCCCCTAACTCATGTTTTCACTGAACACATTCTTCCTCCAATGGCTACCAATTTAGTGACAATCCCCCACCACAGTCCAGTCCAATTTAGTGACAGTCAGCTCCACTCCATACTCCTCACCAAACAGCAGTTTCACCCAGCTAAGAGATCTGTATTTTCATTCAGATATTATTACACAGATGACTCAACCACAATCTATATGCAACCGATCTGAACAGCTTCCCTATCAAATTGTCTCCCCTACTGCCCAAAAGGCTATCTTTCCTGAAACATGGGCCTCACTGGGTTGCCCTACGACCCATCCAGTTACTGAAGACTGGGATTTGGGCATCTGCCTGGGCTTCTCCTTCTGACTCGCTCAGTATTTTCTTTCTGATTCTGACTTAGTACTTCTAAATCTGGCCATGTCTTTCTAACTCTGCTATTAAGTTGAACCATATGAGGCAATCATTTTGTAGGTCAAATCTAGTTTGATTCTAGTCCAATGGCTCTGGTTCAAGTCTTCATTATTCTTCATCTCTACCACTTCAACAACCTACACAATGGACCCTTCTCCCTCCTGTCTTTCACTTCTCACCTCAAGCCTATGGATAGAATGTAAGATGGGTGATGAGACCAACAAGAAAACATTCATGTGGAATCTTTCTGTGGCCCATGTGGTCACTCCAAGTTAATGGATTCAGAGCCCAGCAGTCTCAGGGCGGACCCAGAGCTCCAAAAGCTATAATGAGAGAACAAGGAACTGGTAGAGAGGGCGGTGATGGTTGTGAAGAGGCAGCTTCCTTGGGTGGTAAGATCAATCATTAAAACCACACACATGACTGCCTGGGCATTATGTAAAATGACTTCGGGATGGCAGTCACATTAAACATTGAGCAGCTGGCACTAGCATGGCAACTGATTTGGAAGAGGGGTTTATTAAGGTAACAGGGTCTTTCAGAGACACAGAAACAAAAATGTGCAGGGAATGAGGAAATGTCTGCAGAAATAATAGGCTACCTGAAGGATAAATGCCACAGCCTGCAGAGGAGAAAGTCAACAGAAGACTTTCTATAAAGAATTATGTATCTAATTATGTTTTCAATAGCTGAAAGGAAAACAAAAGCAAAGGCCATAGGAAAAAAATAAAATAGAACATAGAAAATACATTTAAAAACACAAAAGCATTCAAACTGTGTAATAAAAATGACAAAAGAAAAATTATTTCTGTTGTGACAATAAATATAAATGGGTTAAAATAGAGAAAAGGTCTCAGACTGTCTAAATAAATAAAATCTAATTGTACACTATTAAAGGCCTAACACAAAATGACTCAGGTAACTTAAAAATAAGTTGAACAAAGGCATAATGGGAAAATGAAAATAAACAGAAAATAGTTGTAAAAATATGTAAAAGTGTCAAAGTAGAATTTAAACTGGAAAAAAATAAAAACCATTAAGTGGGTTATGAGCTCTTTATTTTTAATGCATGAGTTAAACTTTAAAAGAGAAAATGATGAGGGGGGGGGATAAAACACAATTTGAAAATTTTAACTCATGTCCCAGACTCTGACCAAATAGAAAAAACTAAAGATTTAAGTATGTACATAATATGAATAATAATGTATTTACTAAATACAGGTTATTTAACACAAAGATCAGATGACAGGCTAAAGACTAACTTCGATAAATCTCTCAAAGACAAAAACTGTATAGGTCTAGGTCTAGTATTTTCTAAGTTCTCTAAGGCTAGAAATTAATGACAAAAGCTTAAAAATAAATTTCTTAAAATTGAAATATTATATATTTGTATATATAATACCTCCCATAATCACTAAAATTTCAAAGTATGTTTTGTATGTTAACAAAAGTCTGAAACAAAATTAGAAGCCAATGGTTAGTTGAGAACAGTATTTGTAACATCTAGGTCAGCTAAACGATAACCTGTTTTGTGTCAAGAATTCTTACTAATCAACAAAATAAACTCTCCAAAAGAAGAGTTGGCATATGACTTCAGTACATAATTCACAAAAGATAAAGAATGGTAATAGTCTATGAATAAATTTTTAAATGATACCAGGAAGATTATGGAGGATGAATATTTTATTCCTTGAAATTTTCTAGATTATCCAATTGTTTTTGCAAAAAAAAATGAGCTATATTTACAACAAAAATTAAATGCTTTAAGGTACATTACATTTTTGTAGCCCTCTTCATGCTGTAGTATCAGTATGCTATATACCACTGCAGAGTTAACTCCACTATAGTACCTAACACCCTATCATACAGCATTATAACTGCTTGTTCCCAAATAATCTTATTCCCTAA